AACTGTCTGGCATCAGCTTGGAGGAGCGTAGGAGTATCATCCGCTTACTGAATCACAGGAAAGTCATCATTCGGTTGTGGGATAGGCAGTCTAAGTAAATTCATGGCAGCAGCTCGGTTGGCTAGAATCTGCAAAAGCTCTATAGCAAGCACAAATAAGAGAGGAGATAGTGGATCACCCTGTCGAACTCCTCGCTTGCATTTGAAGAACTTGCCGGGTACTCCATTAAGGAGCACACGGCAGATGATCTAGATGAAAGGATGGCTTGAACCCAGAGTAACCATTTGTCTGGGAAACCCATATGGAGCATAATCTGAATGATTGTTGAGTGTTCCATCATGTCAAACGCCTTCTCAAAATCTAGTTTGAGAATTATAATCTCTCTTCATGAATGGTGACATTGGTGTATATACTCATAACTCCAAGCCAAACAATCTTGTATCGTGCGCGATCTGATAAATCCATATTGGTTCCGATGGACAATCCTCAAAATGACCATCTGCAGTCTGTCCGCAAGAATTTTGGTGGACTTTGAGAGTAATATTCATAAGTGAAATAGGGCGGAAATCACTGACAGTCTCAGGGCTATCTTTCTTCGGCACCACAGTGATGTAGGAGGTGTTGATGCACTCCAGATTTGCTTGGCCAGAGAAGAAGTCTGAACACAGGGAGTAGAAATCACCTTTAATGAATTGCCAACATTTCTTCAGAAAAAAGCCATTGAACCCGTTAGGTCCTGGTGCTTTGTCAGTGGGCATGCATTTTACAACCGAGTCCACCTCTTCATCAAGGATGGGTGCTGCAAGCATATCTAGATCATTGATCGGTGTGACCAAATTTGCAAGGTCGAAGAGCATAGTGGGCGAGGACGTGGTGCCCATGCGATTTCTGAACGAGCTCCAAAGAAGGCATGCTTTACTGTCATGGTCTTGTATCCAAACTCCTTGCTCATTCATAATCTGCGAGATGGTATTTCTACGGTATGATATTGTTGCCATGCCACGAAAGAATTTTGTACATTCATCACCGAACCTAATTCGATTCACCGTATAACGCTTTTTCCAGTATAGATTTTTATAGTGCAGCCAAGTTTGCAGCTGTCTCTTGAGTGCAGCCCTCAGATTGGCCTCAGGGTTGAAGAGACCTCTTCTGTCATCCAGTGTATCAAGGAAGCAAATGACTCTATTACAGTTGCTGATTAAGAGTATTAGGTTGGAGAGATGCCTGCTCCAATCCTTTAACCTGTCACACAGCGCTTTGAACTTCGCCGAAATATTTTGGGCTCTATCAGTCAACATAGGCACAGAGTTCCAACAATGAAATACTATGTCCAAGAAGTCATCTTGTTCTGCCCAGAAGTTCTCGAAACGAAACATACTTGTCTTGGGTATTTTTGTACTGATCGCCACTTTGCATGGTATATGATCAGACGTGATCTTAGCTAGGGGGAGAACCTCTGTGTTAGGGAAGTCTAGGGTCCAGTTGATGGACGTGAAAAACCAGTCAAGCTGGTCCAGCAATGGGTTGTACTTTCAGCGGTAACTCAACTAGCCCCAAATCACCAATTGCTTCATTGAAGATAAGCGTGTCAGCGAGATTACCACCAGTTGCGATTACTTAATGATCTATAAAAATTGAAATCGCCCAGGAAGATCCAGTTTTCGGAGTCACTGATATCATGATCCCTGAACCAGTTGACAAACTCTGTGCGTGCAGGACCATCACATGGTCCATAAATAGTTGTTAGCTTCCAGGTTTGATTGTCATGCACTGAACTGAAACTTACTGTGATGCCAAAAGCTTCTTTTGTCAACAACCAGGCCCAAAAAAATAGCACTATTCCAGAGGACCAGAATGCCTCCAGAAGCACCCAGGGATGAAATCAAACTTGTCGAAATGGCGTGGAGCAAACTTTCTGATGAAACAAATATCAAAATTTTCTTTCTTCGTTTCCTGAAGACAGATAACTGAACAAGCGCTTTCTTCAATCTTATCTCGCACCGCATCCCATTTCTCTGATGCATTGATGCCACGAATGTTTCAACATAAGATGTTCCAATTGCAAGTATTCATTTAATAGCAAGATAAAATAGAGGAACATGACCTGTTATGACTAGCATAAGCAGGTGAGGGAACCGAGCAGCACAGATACAGATCAGACAGGTAAACATGGATAGTTCATCACAATCGAGATAAAAGAAAGCGCCACAGGCAGGATAGCAAAAGTTTCCATAGTGGAAATTTAGGGGCTTTTTCTAAAAATAAATTTTACCATTACTAGTAAGAGGTCTTAACGAACTCTCAGCTTTAATTTTTACTTTCTTCGTCCATGTCTTAGAATTTTAAGGATAGATTAGTGCTTAATGGAAGTTACAACATACCCCTATTAATTGACGGTGAACCATATTAATTAAGGAAAGGAATGCTTAGGGTGTGTTTGGTTCCATGAATATCCATGGATGGGACATGGATATCTATAGATACAGGGTGTTTGGCTGGATGGACAGCTGAACCTGGATATCCACAATAGAGAATATTCTGGATAGATACTGGATATCCTGACCCTCAAAAATCTGGCGGATGAGGATATCCACATATTGATTAGCGCATGTTTCGAGTGACAATTAGAGTAATATAGTGCTAATTAACATATTTTATTTTTAATTAGTGATTATAATGACAAAATTAGTGTCAGTGCATATTTATTAGGGTATAATTAGTTGTTATTATTTTTAAATAATAGATATAATTAGTTAAGTATTCTCATCCCATGTAATCTCATCCATCCAACCAAACAGAAAAATGACTCACCCCATCCATCCAACCAAACAGACATAGATATCCATATCCCAAAATCCATGGATGGTCATATCCCATCCACCTTGTCCTCAAACCAAACACACCCTTAGAGGCATGCAGCCACAATCTCAAGCTGACCCAATCTATTATCAAGAGTTAAAACAAGTTTTTCAGGACATCTTTTAAATCCTAGAACATCAAGTTTTCTAAGACAAAGACAGTAACATATAGGCGTACTAATTGAAGACTAAAACAAACCTCTAGGTCAATCCTCACTAAGCGTGCTATGAAAAAAAAACAAATGTTAGAAATTATCTAAAAAAAACCATATGTTCAATAGACTCTGTCATCATCCGCAATAATAGTCGTTGCTCATAGGATCTAGTCTTTTTTTTCTCTTAAAAAGACGCATGTCTCTAGCATTATAAAAACAATCTAGGGTACTCCCTAAATGCGAAAGGGCATGTAGCCTACTGGTTATATGAGCCTCAATAGCATCTTAGGTCCTGGGTTTGACTCCCAGTGGGAGCGAATCTTCCAGGATTTAACGGATTTTTGTGCTTTCAGGGATTTAACGGTTTTTTGTGCTTTCAGTGGTAGACGACGTTTCTGTGGATAGCGACGCAATCTCGAGGTTTTGTCGGCTCAGCCTTCGAAGATGCTCATAGTAATAGAGTTTGCGTGCGTGTGTTCATAGGGGTGAGTGTACATGCGTTGTTAGCGTGTGTATTGTTATGTGTAATTATAAAAAAAAGGTAATCCCTAAATCTTGATCTAAATTGCTTACCATTCTTATTAGGTAAAATAATATAAAGTAATATCTAATCTTCATTTAAATTAATCTTATATGCCATTATGAAAAATAATATAAAATAGTTCTCTAGTTTGCTTCTACATTAGCCACCTCCGCTATTATTAGATAAACTAAAGTAACCTTCAAATCTAAGTTACCTATGTATGTCAATATAGGAAAATATCCAAAAATATTTCTATATATTTTTCTAAGATAATGTTTGGTTTGAGAAGAACCAAATGTGGAGGTCCAATCTCCTGCAATTTCGGTTCATGGGTTGGGACCCCATTATAGTTTTTTGTGTTTGAGAGAGAGAGAGAGAGGGGGATATATGGCATTTTCTGATATGTCAACCATGGGGCTCAGCTGCTAGACCATTATTAGATATCATTTGAGCCAAAACATATCTATACGAGGTTGGTTCTTATAAAGTTAACTACATTTTCTACTTTGACCTCTTTTAGTGATATGGCTTCTGCCAATTTAGAGAAGTAATCGGTCACGGCAAGGTTAAATTTGTGGCCCTTAGAGAATGGAGAATTTATCGGCCCTACTACATTCATTTTCTAAATTTCAAAAGGTCATGACATATTATTGGTCGCATGCGACGGTTATGCGGTTGATGTATAAAATTACCATGTATTTGACACTCATGGCGTCTTTCTACAAATCTATGGAATCATCAAATATTATAGGCCAATAGTAAGCAAAATGTTTTAGCAAGTAGTGTAGTTTGGATCTAGTTTCGTGTGTAGCACACACTCCGGCATGGACTTCATTTAAGGCTTTGGTTACCTCATTGCCTATGCGGGTCCAGCTTTTTGAGTCAAAACTGGACCAAAAGTCACATGACTAAATGCAAAGCCCGAACAAAAAATTGCAAAGTAATTGTACTCAAAGCAGTTTCCTAAATAAATATCACATTAATTGGAGATGAAGTCATATTTCTCCAAACTTTGAAGAATAAATTTTCAATTATGTTTGTGCAGCATAAGAGTCCAACATTGTAAAAAACTATGTCTTCATTCTAAATGTCGATCATTTGTATGGTGATTCTGTTACAAAGTTGTCTTATATTCTTATACATTCATTTCTTTCAATTACCTCGCTATCGTATAAGCATAGGTTGATAGGCTAGTACTATATATTGCAATAATTGTGTTATATGGCAAACCCTTTTTGTGTGTTTGAAACAAACATGAGGGGCACATCCTATGGCTGATCACCAACATAAGAGTTACACGAAGGATGCAACCCCTATGCAGTTCAAGTATGCTCCGGTCATGCCTCCCTTGGGTATGAAAGCAAGAATCAGAGCTCCTCTTGCGCCCTCCTCGACCATGAGATCTCCGGTGTGGAAGTTAATGTCTGTACTGACATAGCCAGGATGCACACAATTTACACAGTTCTAGGTGCTTGTTTGCAATGATTCTCGAATAAGCATTGTAAGAGCCTTGGACACTTTATATGCAGGGTACCCTCCTTCAGTCGGCCACCCATGGGGTTCTAGTTGCCCATTCTTGAAGTCCTTAAGGAAAAATTCTGACAGTTCATCTAATCTCTGTACTGATAGGCTATCAATGTTGTTGAGCTCCTTTTTTAAGTTCCCCACCACTGAAAAACTGAAGCCATGTAGAAGGATTAGTATTTTTTTGAAAGCAGTGTGGTCTAACTATTAAATCAAGTTCTAGTATCTGTATTTTGCCATTTATTCAAGGCATTACCCTGAGCAGTCCAAAATCAGATGATACATTTACAACCCTTCCATGGGATGAGAACTGTAGGAGAGGAAGAAGTGCTTCTGTGACAATTTTAGTGCCATGGTAGTTTGTAATCAAGCACTCCTTTGCTTTGTCGTAAGGCTCCGTAGTGTGCTTCCTGATCCATTCAAGCTTTTCCATGTCATCCATATCTGCAAGCTATTTACATGCAGAAAACAGTTGTTAGCTAGTGTCGAACAGTGACGGACCTAGGTTTTTACCTCTGGGTATACGTAGAATTTTTTTTTCTTATGCAATTCGGTAAACCATATATAATTTGGTAAAACCATATTCTCATTCGGTAAAACCATATAAATTGTTCAAATGAAATACAAAATACTTTAAAATATAGCCATATAAGAGACTTACAATATTACTCGTTGACCCGTCGCTTTCTCAATGATATGAATGTCTTAATTATATCATCTTCATCAACTTGAAAGAAAATATCCCGTTCAATAAATGTTTGTAGACAATCATCCAGAACAATATCACCTAGCTTATTCCTCGATTTTGTTTTCACTATAACCAATGCAGAAAATACCCTTTCAACGCTCGCAGTTGCCACCGGTAAAAGCACCTACTTGCCGGTGTAAAGACTGCTGGCTGCAGAAGCCTCGACGGGATCCAGGAAGAAGAATCTTTGCACACTATACAGATGCCCAAGCATATTGGGAGCATGGCAGAACTGCAGGTGCTGTCCTTTGTTGCGGTTTCTGGCCACGGTGATGAACTCATTGACATTGGCAACCTACTCCAGTTGAGGAAGCTGGGCCTCGTTCTTGATGGATCTCAGAAATCAACCTTCCGGCATCTGTTCCATGCAATAGGGAAGCTGAGCAGATGCCTTCAGTCTTTGTCAATCTGCATCATATCCAACAATGAGGATTCAGACACAGCTACAGAAATAGAAGAGAGGTTACTCATGCCTCCAAGGTATCTTCGCCATCTACAAGTTAGTGGCATGGTAAATGGATTTACTGATATGGTTAAAGACCTTAGAGAACTTACTAAGGTAACAATTCACAAAACTTTCCTGACGGCTGGTGACATTAAAATCATTGGTAGGATCACTAGATTGAGCTACCTTCGGTTTCAACAGGAGTCATTCACTGAAAGCACACTCACTTTCAGTAAAGGTGGATTTCAGAATCTCAAGTACCTTGTCATAGATTGCTTGGACGTCATCAGCATCACCTTTGATGAAGAAGCTACTCCTAGGCTCGAGAAGATAATCTGGTATTCCACTGGTACTCAATGCCTCACCGGAATCTCTATGACTGGCGGACCCCAGGGTATGCGGTGGCCCACCCTGCATACCCTGTGGGTCCGTCCCTGGTGTCGAAAGCTATATATCAAGAAGATAAATATATTAGAACTTTCTAAAGATAACTAATTGGAAGTGACAGTTGAAATGCTTATGAAGTTACATAAACTAGCTAGCTAACCTCTTGCTTAAAAGATTCTGGGTCGCTGATCTCGGTTGTCGTCCCGACGATTCCTGCATTGCTGACCTGCAAAGAATCAAAGTATCAAACCAGTGACTACCAACATATGATTTAAGATAAATTCAGAAACAACATCCTTCACATGTACTGAAAAGAAACACGAGGCAATACCAATATATCCAGCTTGCCATACTGCTCCCTGATAAAGTCAGCAAGACGTACTGCGCTTGAGAGATCTTCAACCTCCAGTGGATGAAACAGGACGTTGGATAGCCCCTGCGCTGCAAGATTTTTTACCGCTTCTGCACCCCTCGTCTCGTCCCTCGCTGTCAGTACTACCGTGACTCCTTCGTTGCCTGCATATTTCTAATCCAATTCCTCTATTCCCTCCAGTAACAACAGCAACCCTAAAAGAAAAGAATCCTCAATGCTTTAGGATACACATCAAATGAATATCTATGAATAAATTTATCATATGTACTTTTGCCTTGGAATATAAATTGCTTATATACAGTTATTTTTCTAAATGAGAGTATATATATATTTTAGAAGAAAACAGAGATGCCAAAATGCTCACTCTTTTTCATATTGCCCGCATACGTTTCCTTCCATGTATGACGGAGAGCTGATTTTGTGCGAATTAGTGTGTTGTTTCTAAAGCAATGTTAAGAGAGTTTGTGGAGAGACAAGAGTTTTGATTTCTAAAGCAATGTCTTGCATTAATTTTTATTGTGTGAAAAATGAATTTAAAACCTCGTTTAAGCCTCGAATATGTTTTATTCTATTTCTACCAATAAAGTATTTAAATGTTTATCTAAAAATAAATTCAAAAGTTTTATCTCCAAAATATAGTTTCAATTTCCAAAACTCATAAATCATTTGAAAAACAAGTTTGGCTCAAAAGTTTTTGAATTAGAACTTCAAAATAGATTTATATTAAAAGAAAAGGCTAAACCCCTCTCCTCCCTTCTCAGGCCGGCCTAACCTGTTCTCCCGCGCCCTCTCTCACTTCGCCTGGGCCGCAAGCCCAGCTCCCCTCCCGCTCTCTCTTCTCTTTCTGGGCCTCGCCAGCCACCAGGCCTGCCCACCGCCAGCGCCCCTGCCTCCTGGGGTAAGGCCCAGCAGGGCAGCCTGCAGCCCGTCCCTGATCCACTGCCAGGTGGAGCCGACCCGTCAGAGGCTCCTCCTACCTCCTGCTTCTCCCCTCCACCATCGTCGGCACCCGCAAGGACCGAGCCCGACCGCGCGACCGAGCAAGCCGCGGACCGAGCTCCTCCCCTCCTTCCCGATCCAGATCCACGCGCCGCGCATCCCCAGATGCTCCCCTCCTCTCTTCCCCCCCAGCTCGGTAAAGTCCGCACCCGCCACCATGGACGGCATGTACCCGAGCTGGCGAGCTTCGTGACTCGACCCCTACTGCCCTCTTTCCCTCTATAAATGGCGCCCAATCTCCGCGGTGGCGCGACGCATCCGATTCACCCCTCCCAGCGGCTCCGCGCCCTCTCTCCCGCACCGCAGCGCCCACACTCGCCACCGCCACCGCCATAGCCGACCTCGAGTCGAGCTCCCGATCTCCACAGAAAAAGCTTCCCCCGCCTTCATTCTTACTCCCTTGGATTCGCAAGGACACCCCAAGCTTTCCCAACTACGCCATGGCATCAATCCACGGCCGCAGACCCCTCCGATCTCGCCGTGCCTCCAAGGCCGCCGAGCCCAGCTCCTCGCGACGGACCAGCCGCCCAGACCCTCCCGCCGACAAAGAGCATCACCGGATAACTCGCCTTGTACTCCTCTCCCTCATCCGCCGCTCTCCGTCGACCTCCGGTCACTGGAACGCCGGTACGGCCGAGCTCCGGCGAGCCCGCCGTGCGGTGGTTTTTCCCCTGCGCGGCAACAAAACAGAGGGAGATGCTCCTAGTGCCATCCGATCTTCTACGGATGGTCCAGATTCCGTGTTGACCCATGGTCAACACAGTCAACCCGCCTCGCCATGTCAGCCTCCTACAGCAAATCAGAGATCGCCACATCACCAGTCGTCGCCACATCAGCAGGTCATGTAGCACACGGTTTTAAGGACAAAACCAGATACACACCATATGTGAGCCCAAGAAGTTAAATCTCACATATAGCTATAAATAAGGGTAATATCAAAAGACAATACTTAAATACGTAGCGTATTAGTATAAAGATTATAACCTCAGAGTATAGATAGCGGAAAGACAACTCCGATCTTCAGGCGAAGACTCTAAATTCACCGGGACAACTGACTGGTTAATCACAAGTCTAATTCCCCCAAACTCTAGCAATCTGGTACCCATCCAGGATTTTTCCAAAGTATTAAAAAGTAAAGCAAGCGTAACTACATGTCGTACTCAACAAATATAACATGGGGTTCATGAGGCTCAAAAGGTTGACACTGGTTCAACTGCGATTAGCTTTAAATTGTCACAATTTTAGCATAGGAGTAGCAACAAGTTTATCACAAGCACATAAACATATGATCAGGTAAACATGAATAATGAATAGCATAAACAGTAACCATTAACGAGCATATTCACCATCAGTATCATCCGTGTTCATCATCATTAACCATTAGTGATCATCTATTCCGTAAATGTTCCAAGGCCGCTCGTGACCGTGAGCACGGCTGTTATACCAGTTTTACACTATGTAGAGGTTGTACACTTTCACTGTGAGTCGTGATTTACCCTTTCGCCCGAGGTAGCTAATCTCTTGACCCACTTCCAAGAAAGGTCGGCAGGGTTCACTATGAAGTCTTTCAAAGGTTCGTCTAACAAGTTAGGGCCGCTAGGTTTCTGTGGCCTGCGAATGTAGAGCTCCCCTTTCGGCAGGCACAATGACGCGCAGGCTATACACTGACCGACAGAGGCCGCACTATATCCAACCCGGAACACACCCCTCTTGCGCCATAAAGGTAACCACTAACAAGCTAGAAAATGTCCTCATACTGAGCTAAAGCCAGAGCCATGTAGCCCTCACAGCTGTACTGTAAGTCCCGGATGATCACTTACAGATAAATCCTTAGGAAGAGGAATCTAGAGCACCATAAATAGCCCAATGATCTAGCCCCTTTGTTCCATGTTGCTAAAAAGCATCTTTTAATGTTTATTGCATATTCCATTAGTCAAGTTACAAGATCATGGCTTTAGTTGAGCACTAGCATCATACTACCCAATGCAATACCCCATAGGAGACAAGGAATCCAGGATTTCAAATAGCTAGGAAAATTACTATGGTTACCAAAGTAGACACATGCAGTATAAATTAAGTGATTAAAGGTGTATAGGACAACAAGGAAGATCCCATGCTATACTTGCCTTAAAACATCGATCCTTCGGTAAGCTTTAATCTTCAACGTTCTTCTTCTTCTTCTTATCACCACATATATCTCACCGACTGGACGTAATCATAAAGCACCACACAAGCATCCATACAATCATACACGAAGCAAACAATAAAACTAAATCAGAACAGTACACCAATCATAGAATCAAGATGAAAAGTTTATAAAACGAATCTACGTCTCGCTACGAATACACAGATGCGAAAAGCACTCTAATCGGAGCTACGGTTAAAAAGATACAACTACCGGGAGATTTGCATCACAAGAGTAAAGGCTACATGCTTGTTTTATTTTAAGTACAAACCATGTGAAGGATATTAATTTAGTCAATTTACATTTTAATTGAA